GATAGATAGATAGATAGATAGATAGATAGATAGATAGATAGATAGATAGATAGATAGATAGATAGATAGATAGATAGATAGATAGATAGATAGATAGATAGATAGATAGATAGATAGATAGATAGATAGATAGATAGATAGATAGATAGATAGATAGATAGATAGATAGATTGATGATTAATTCATTGATTGATTATTGATTGATGGATGGATTGGACTGGTAGGCAATTGTCAGGAGACTCCTCCTAATAAAGAAGATGTTAGCGATTCGATCCCTACTTGATATATTAGTTTTCTGAAGAAAATTTTGAGTTATACTAGTCTAACATTCTGGAATGTTGGGTACAAATATAAGTAGTTATTCACCCAAAAAGTAAGTACTTCTATTTCGCCCCAATATTACTTGCCTGCTTACCGGGTACGCAAAGCTTTTACTGGATAGTCAAATCAGTAACATTTTAAGAACATTTAAAATGTTCACATTATTTTAATACACACTGTTCCTATTATACTACCTATAAATTGTATTATTTTATACATTACGAAATAGTGAAAATATTAAATACAAATATACAATAAAAAGTGCATTATTATTAAACAGTTGTTGTTTCTTTTCCGGCTTTAAAGCTCAAATAGAAAAAAAAGGTGTAAAAAGATATTACAACATACGAATAAAAAACATTACACTACTTTTACACTAAAATACTGCATACAACATAATGTTCTGCTTAAATTAAAGAAAGAAAAGTAAGAAAGAGGAAAATCAAAGAAACAACAGCTTAAAGGGCAATCAAAAAGAAATTTATTGTTTCGACCACAAATCAAATGAAAAAGAAATTTTAGTTTTTTAAACAATTATTGCAAAACATACATACACACTTCCGTAAATAGAAAATACAGTACACGAATATATGAATAAGAAAAAAATCTAATGTAACGCAACATATGTACATGTGGTTAGGAAGAGCCAACTTCGTTACACAGTGTAATGTAAAATAAACTAAATGGACTTGGTAACAGAAAATAGTACTGTAAATCCATATCATTCATAAGTATGTGTTAAAATGATATACATATGTATGTTGTTGATAATATTACAGCAATTGAGACACATTTTCATTCATAATATATTCCTAAAATACCCCTCGCAAAAAAACGCATCTTAAATCTATTTCTCGTTTAGATTTTGCAAGTGGGTTTGGTTTTTTGCTATTTTTAGTTTAACCGTTTTCCGCGCATATTCGCAGTTTTAACAGTTTTTTATATATTTTTTTTCTGTTTTTGGTATTAATGTCATCTTTTGCTCAATCTGTTTTTTAAAGTTTTGTTTTAAAACATTTTTTTCGGTTAAAATTTTTCTCGTTAAACGTATTCATATTTTTTTAACAGTTTTTTTTTTTGCGATTGTTGTTTTAATTTCTATTGTTTTAAAGTTTATTTGTCATTTAGTTTGATGTTTTAGTTTTTTTTTATTTTTTACAAAACAGAAACATAAATATTTCTTGTTTTGCGTATTTGCGAATATTTTTGTTTTATTTATCAGATATTACACTGCAAGAAATCAAAATGTTTAATGCATTGAAATCCTCTTGGATTTTTGAACTAAGAAGAATATCATCTTAAGTTAGCTCTTAAAAAAAAAAACAATACCATCTTATTGATTTTGTTTTCAATTTTCTGAAACCATATGGAATCCGAGCCAAAAAACTGCTCACTTTTCAAGGCCAAGAATGAACCATGCAATTTTGGATACCCTGTTATGAAGTGAATCGTATCCTAGAGATTGCTTTCTTCATTGATCGACCAATGAGTAGCATTCAGGTTTCCTGTAATTCCCTGACCAGATTTCAGCGGTTCAAAACAAATATAATGTTTTAAGTCGACCAAAACAGAACATTTTCCTAGCGCCATGGATATACGTACATATGCATGGCCATCATGTCAATTCCGCTGATTGGCCGAGCATCACATACAATATCGTACTCTCCAGGCTAAAATATGGTTTTCTTTCGAGCTGAATTTCGAAGATGCAATATCTTCTTTCAACACCTCTCTGCTTCAATTACCCGATTTCCCAGTTTTTGGATGAATACTGTTTTTCGCAAACGTTATCAATTTGCTATTGTGTAGCTCTCAGATATTTTGATTGCTGAGGTAGACAACAATACTTATAGAGTAATACCTTCAGAGTAAAAATTCGGAACCGCACAAGAAATCTCTCGCATATTGAAAGTGAACTAGAACTGAACTAGAACTGGAATTGAACTGAACTGAACAGGAATTGAACTAGAACTGAACTAGAACAGAACTAGAACTGAACTAGAACTGAACAAGAACTGAACTAGAACTGAACTAGAACTGAACTAGAACTGAACTAGAACTGAACTAGAACTGAACTAGAACTGAACTAGAACTGAACTAGAATGAACTAGAACTGAACTAGAACTGAACTAGAACTGAACTAGAACTGAACTAGAACTGAACTAGAACTGAACTAGAAACTGAACTAGAACTGAACTAGAACTGAACTGAACTGAACTAGAACTGAACTGAACTGAACTGAACTAGAACTGAACTAGAAACTGAACTAGAACTGAACTAGAACTGAACTAGAACTGAATAGAACTGAACTAGAACTGAACTAGAACTGAACTAGAACTGAACTAGAACTGAACTAGAACTGAACTAGAACTGAACTAGAACTGAACTAGAACTGAACTAGAACTGAACTAGAACTGAACTAGAACTGAACTAGAACTGAACTAGAACTGAACTAGAACTGAACTAGAACAGAACTAGAATGAACTAGAACTGAACTAGAACTGAACTAGAACTGAACTAGAACTGAATAGAACTGAACTAGAACGAACTAGAACTGAACTGGA